ATGATTGATTGGTTGTTTTTTTTTTTTTTTTTGGTTTTTCTCCGGTACCGGGAACCGAACTCACGACCCTGCGCTTGCCAGGCAGGCGCTTTTGCCGCTGAGCTAAATCCCCAGCCCCCTTGATTGGTTGTTTTTATTGTCTCTAAGTAGGGTCAAAGTGAGAATAAATGGCCTTTCCTGAGGAATAATACACCCGTAAGAGGATCTCTTCTTCTCTAAGCCAGAAAGGCCTAGCACTCTGGTACTTGGGAAGTGCCCTAGAATTGTTTGTGTTGTTCTAACCTGAAAATGACAACATAGAATGCAGCCAACGGCACGCAGCTTTTTATTGTGGGTGATGCAGCTTTAATTGGTACACAGAGGGCATGCTTGTGGGATTAGTCCCCGGCGCGTTGGCCAATCAAATCCCTTTCAGCATTTCTCAATGGTTAGTTTCATCTTATAATTAAGTAACAATGATCATTTCCTGACAGCTAATGACTGGCTAGAGGAGGTAGAAGCGTCATTAGGTTTATAATTTATCAAACTCTAAGCTCTTCATCTGCAGTATTGCAAAAAGAGAAAGCATCTTCCAACTACAAATGACGAAGGACATTCTCTAAACATATCTCACAGCTGTGTTAACTAGTTCTTCCAAAGCTGACTTTCTTTCCCAAGTTAAGAACATTGTATCTTATACAGCACGAGCAGGAAAAATGTTCATATGACTGAGCAAAAGAGAGGGAGAAAGAGAGAGAGAAAGCAAGATGCAGCAAGCTATATAACCACGCTCACACACGTTGTAAACAGAAGTGGAACTGGCGGTCTGCGTTTCCATTGAGAATCTTTGCGTGGCGACCCCACCTGATGTGAACTGGTCACAAAGGGACGAGTGGGCTCTCATTCCTTGATGAAACGCTCATTTCTGTGGCTTAATACAGATAGCCCGGCCTGTCACCCAGGCTCTGGAGTTCTACAAATGAAGAATGTAGGCAGTGGTGACTTCAGAGAGAGGAACACTGTCCTTTCACAGGGGCACCCATGACTTTCCCCAGAGTGACTCTTGGGAAGCCCTCAGAGCTCTTTCCCCTCTGAATTCCTGTGACTTCCCTGAAGTTCAGTCCTCTCTGGTAGCAGCTTCTCCAGCAGAGGCCACTCAGGTGCACCATCCCTTGGATCCTCAGGGCTGGCGAGATCCACTGCAGGTCTCCAGAGAAGTTGCTGGCATTTGGCTTGTGCTATCAGATCCATCTTGAGATTTTGCGAGGAGAGTCCCATCCCTGTCCTGCATGTAATCGGCCCTGGTGCCTCATGTGGAACTGTTGGAGACTTTCACAACCATAAACTGGGGCTACATACTTCTCATGCTGTCAAATCAAGTTCTCTTAAATGGTTCCAGGAGCCCTCTCTAGTCTGAGCACTTTGCCCTGAGCATAGCTCATAAATGAGCAGAATGTGTAACTGAAGCCTCTCCCCACCATTGGAAGCTTATTTTCTTCTCTGAAAAGTCTAAAATTTCAAGGCATTCTTCATTACTTTGCTTGAAGCATCATGTGACATATAGTTGAAGAAGCACCCAGCTATTTTAAAATCTTTTGACAGACATCATAACACAGATATACTTGTTTAATAAATACCCATAGAGCTGGATCAGGTGGCACAGACCTGTAATCACTCAGGAGCTGAGACAGGAGGATCACTACAAGTTCAAGGCCAGCCTAGGCTACATAGTAAGTTCAAGACCAGCCTGAACTTATATAGCAAGACCTTGTCTCAAAAAATAAATAAAATAACTTTTAAAAAAGAAAGAAAAGAAAAATAAATAAAGTAAGTACCCCCAGCTATCCTCACTGTTTAATCAAGTCCCCAGCTACTAGGAACCCAAGAGGAAACAAGTTGGTAATTGTTTAATGGACGTTCTGTGGTCACTTTCACATAAAGTGTAATTAGGGTCTCTGAAATCTCCTCTTTCTTCAGCCCTAACATAACTATTACCAGTCATTTAAAATCACTATTCATAATGTGCCTAGCAGTCCCATTGGCTTATACTTGCCCCAAACAATGGTCTTTGAGTTAATTCTTCGATGAGAGAAAAGCTGTTTTTAGGTAACCAGGGTCTCCAAATAGGAGAAGCTATTCTGGTGCTATGCGAAGAGGTGTGTGCGGCCTGGAGAGCGCAGCTGGTCCCGTGTGAATCCCGCTCCTGCAAGTGCAGTGGGCAGCTGCTGTGGTTCCTACAGAGGGCCCTTCCCAGTCCTTGTTGTGGCCCAGGAATTTATATTTGTAACCCCCTGGAAAAGTTATTAGAATTGTAATAAGTTCAATCTAATCTACCACCTCCAGTACCACCCACAGCATAAAGACACAATAATATTCCCTAAATGGTGGGTAGTCAAGGGTCCCAAGTCTAGCCATGATGGTGGCCATCAGGAACAAAGGCCTATACCCAGAACTGAGTCCAGACTTCATTCATTTGGAAGAATGGAGTGGCTTGAGGGTGACTGTGAGAGTGGCAGGAAGCAGGTGAGTGCCATGAGCTGGGCTGGGTAGGCCTGAAGTCACCTCTGCCATATGCAGAGAGGAGGATGTGCAGAAAGAGTAATGTACATCACACAACTGAAGTAGAATCTAATGTTTTGGGGTCAGCAGTTCAGCTCTGATGTGTAATATTTAAAGCCCCTCGGCTGGACCGATATGCATTGTTCAAAGCCAATCAAAGGGGTAAGGAAAAGGTCCTGGCCAGCTCTGTACACATCAATACATGGAAACAGGGTCAGGCGTCTTTCCAATACAGGGAAACAGGGTCAGCAAAATGCAGGCAACTGCTGCCCTTTCAAGGAGAGTCGCCCAAGTGGGGCTCCACAGCTCCGTTCTTCCAGGTGTGATGAGGACGTGCAGATGGGGGCGAGGCCCCGCCTGCTCGTAGTCAGGAATGGACTCATGAGAGAGGAAGAAGGGGAACATCAGAAGCCTGACCTGTTTAGAGGAAGGAGAGGACTTTTTAATGAGGAGGTTATTCTGAATAACGCTGCCTCCTTTTCTGTTTTTCCTGTGTAAAATCCAGTGTTTCCATGGCAGGTTTTACCAGCATGTGCTTGGGTCCTTGGGAGTTGGTGGTCAACTCAGAATCCCAGCTCTGCGAGGCCATGAGAGACTTGCTGAGGAGAAACAAACCATATTGCTCGCAGATTCCACCTCGGGTGACTAATCTGTGTGCTCGAAGGGTGACTCCAAGCGTTGAAAGTTGCCAGAGTGTCTTGAGTCAAAACCTTTCAATGGCTCATGTCAGGGAAACACCCTTGTCAGTAGGGCTAGGGATTAGCGACGGAAACCCAGACTCAGTCTGGTGGAGGCCGGGAGGGCGCCCGGGAAGGGAGTATGTGAGAACCCGGCTCCACGCCTCTCCTCAAATGCCTTTCCCTCCCGGTCAGGAGGGCAGGTCGGCGGGATGTAATGGCTTTGGACTTGTGCCTGGAGTGGCATCGGGACTGCTCAGGGGACAGGGGACACTGCCCAACCTATACTGGGCAGTGCGACTGGAGGGTAGAGGGGCCACTGTGCTGGACACCCAGGAGGAGGTCTGCTGGGGGAGGAAGGAGGGCTTTTGCCAAGCCTGCTGGGTGAGTCGACAGAGCCCTGCGTTTGTCATCCTGACTTTATTTATTTATCTGTTTATGTATTTATTTTTGAGGCAGGGTCTCTAGGCTGCCCAGAGGTCTCAAACTTGTGATCCTCTTGCCTCAGCCTCCCAAGTGGCTGGGATTACACATGGCAGCATGACACCTAATTTTAAAAATATATAGATAATCCAGAAATGAATGGGCTAGTATTGTATAATTACACTTACAAGAGATGTTAGGTTGGCTGCTTGGTTGGTTGGTATTTATGTCCAGTGCATCTCTTGTCTTTTTACATCAGGCATAAGTGTTAAAGTAAAAAATATTTTTAGTAAAAAATTTTCTTTCCAAAGGATCCATTGAAAGTTAATTTTCTAGCATGTGATGGGACCAGGTCAACTTTAAATGGCAAAATCCACCCATGAAAACCCTCCCTTCTCATTTTCTTCCAAGTTTTCATCTGCAAAGCTGTAAAATGGCCTTCGGGACCAGAGTGATGTAGCTAGTTTTTTTAAGTATATTCAAGAGCAAGATAGAAATGAAATTGTCCTTTCTAATCTGCAAAACTGCTTTGTAGTCTGACCCTAGTGAATGAGCCTGCCATAGGTCAGATCAGGAAAGAGGTTTGAGGCCAGGCGTGGTGGTGAATGCCTGTCATCCCAGCACTCCAGAGGCTGAGGCAGGAGGATCACTTGGAGTTCAAGGCCAGCCGGGGCTACATAGTGAGTCCAAGGCCAGCCTGATCTACATAGTGAGACTCCAGCTCAAAAATAGAGAGAGGTTTGTTTAGTACTTCTGAATACTAAAGCCTTTAGCAACCCTAAAAGCAACTTTAGCTTTGGGGATGGAGGGACATTGGTCACAGACCTTGGCCTTGGCCTGTGTGGATACTGAAGCCAGCTGTGGGGCAGAGAGGATCACCACTGTTCACATGTGTTTGGAAGGCAGGGCCCTCCAGACAGCCAGGCTTTGGAGGTGTCACAGAAACCCGCTGAGCTTCTCCCACTGTTGGGTGGCTGTCCTCAGCAGACAGCTAGCTCTGTTTGCAAGGGGACCTTCTAAAGAACCCCAAGCAAACATGCACTAGTCCTTTTCCAGGTACCATACACATATGCTAGTGCCTCATGCTTACACTTCTGGGAAGACCCTGCTATCATGAAGCCACCGGAGGTGAATTTTCCTCTGAGGACAGTGTGGGTCTCCTGCCGGCCGTTTCCCTAGTCCCAGCCTCTTCCCTTGTGTGCCTGCAGCAGGGCCGCTTGCGGCAAGTTGATGATTAGGCAGGGTGGCTGGGAGGCGCTGCTACCTGGGGGAGTTCTGTTGTTTTTATAGTCGGTGCCAGCTGACTAGCTGGTGAGTAAGGCCCTTCCTCTTCCCTCTGGGCTGTGCTCCTCTCCACACCAGGCTCTGCACACTGCCGACTGCCGTGGACATGGTGCTGAGCAAGGGCGGCTGCCTGGCTCTGATGTTTCCCAGGTTTGGGACCCAGAACCCAAGAAGACGGCGGAGTTCGTAAGTGAGGGCTGCTCGGGCTGTGGGTTTTTTCCTGGTAGTTGTCCTTGCGTGAGGGTTTCTGGGGAGAAGGCGAGTGTGGAGACAGCATTCATTCCTCCTACTTCTCCCAGCAGGTAAATAGAAAGTGCTCAGCACCACAGGGGAAGCTAGGTGCACCTTGCAGCTACCTTGGGCTGACTTTAGCTTAGCCCTTTTTTCCTCTAAAGGACTCTTACTTCTGGAAGTTTCTCTGTTTTAATCAGAAATAACATCTTGTTTGTTCTTAGGCTTGAGCATTACAACAGAAGAGTAATTATGGCTAGCTGTACTTTATTGGAATTGACTTGCTATCTCCTGCTCTGCTTACAGAAACAGTGCTTGTTTTGCCCTATGGAAGCGCTTTTGAGTTACACTACTAACATGTGTGTCAGCAGACAGGTTATTACAAGAGACCATAAAGGAGGGCTTTCTTCTAGAGCCCTCAAAGAATTTGTTTTGTATGTCACGTAGGGAGAAGTAATTTATGGATGTCTTTGGTTTTGTCTGTGGGGATTTCTTGTAGCTAGAATCTGCACAGGTTTCTGAATTTTTCAGTATAAAGATCAGTGCCTCAGTGGGTAACATGGTTCTTTGCAAACTGGTAGTTGAATTGGATCAGCTTTGAGTGACACTTTCCCCAGCCCTCCCGCATCAGCAGTGCTTCTCTGAACCAGCTGCTCTGCGCTCACCTGCAGGCAGCGTTTGATTCACAGCCAGCTGCAGCCTGGTATTCTTATCTGTGCCAACCCCACACTAAATATGAGAGTCTGTGCTTGAGAAGACAAGTCATGCTCATTACCCAGCCTTCTCCTCAGAGGTGATGTGCCAAAATCACAGAAGCAGCAAACCCAGACACTTGGTGTGAGGGAGCATAAACTCAGCGCTTCACCTCCTCATATTCCTTTGTTCTTGGAATCATCATCTTTCCCAGCTATGAGCTCGCCGCCCCTTGCTTTGTCTCTGGTCAGCATCTCGGCCATTCCACAGATGGAGAATAGCAGTTGCAGTGGGCACACCACATGGCCCTGAAGCCAGTGACTGAGCAAGATCTAGCCAGCTGCCCCGTCTTCTCTCTAGCCCTCTGCTGCCTGAGAAATTACAGCTCCGAAGAGGAGGGCAGGAGGCCCCGGCACACTGCCCAGTGCTGTCTGAAAGCAGTATGCATTTCAGTTACCACTCAGAGGCCAGGAGAAACCAGTGGATCAAGTTGGGATGCGGGAGGGCCACATAGACACATAGATGGACAAAGAAAACAAGGTTAAAAATGAGAAAAGCGGGGAGCCTAGGAAGGTAGGAGATATGCTCGACTATCCCTTGAGTGCAGGCTGATCCTTCTTTCAACTATGGGCTGAAATATGCTAGATAATATTTGTTATACAGAAAGCACAGTGTGTCCCCCTACGGGAAAGGGTAATCAGAGTAAAGCCAAAGCATAACTTAAATCATTGGTTCAGTAAATATTTGTTAAGGATCTCCCATGAGCCAGGGTCTCTAATATTTATCTTTGTATCTGTATCGCCTGTCACATAGGTGGACAGGCAGATGGACTAAGGTCTGTGGGGCTGTATTTTAGATACTCCCTGTCTCTCTGTGCTCTTCCTCCCTTGGGACAGGACAGTCTCAAAGACACCTGTCTCACCGCTCCCTGAACCGCCCACTCACAGGAAGGAGAATTTCCTTAATGAAGACAAGTAAACACGGGCCTGGGTGCCCACAAGGACAACGCCTCTATGTACTTTTACCCAGATTGAATCAGGGAAAACTACCTGGGAAGAAGGGCACACCCTCACTGATTCAGTGGAGTGACATTTGCATGGCACAGGCTTCACCCGGCCAAGCCCGCACACAGGTGTAGGATCTCTGGGGGCAGCCAAGGAAATATGCCTCCTTGTCTCCAGAGGTCCCCATCCTTCACTCCCTGTCCCCTGTTACCTCTTACGACCCCAACTTCATCTCAGGCATAAGCAGCAGGATGTAGGAAAGACACACCAAACAGCATTATTTATTGGATGGTCTCCATGCATTCGCCTCAAATGAAAATACAGAATTAGATTACTATACCTGACCAGTTGGTTCACATTTTAGACAAATAAATTGGCAGATAGAGGTGAAGTAAGTACAATGGAAGGTGGAAATATACTCCAGGGAGAGGCCAGTACTGGGGAGGAGAAACCGGTCAGAGCTGGTCATTTTGAGAGCCTAAGTAGGACAAGATCTTAAAATATTTCGGATCCAGCTCTGTGTTCTTGATCAGCCAGAGGAAGGGCAGATCTGTTGGGAGAAGGAAAGGTGAGCCCCACACTTGATGTCTGAAATGGTGAATAATTCCTTTGTACTGGTTTCTACCTTTGGGCCGTCTGTATGTGTCACACGGCCAGCCGTGACTTAGCAATGACTTTCTTACTTTCTGTTTCTTTGATAACCATGTGAGCCCAGTGAGGGTGAGGACTTCACCTGCTTCATCTCTGGGTCTCCGAAGCCAAAGCACTGACGTTGTTGAATTTACATATGATACCCCAACCTTCACTCCCAATGCCACAGAACAGGGTAAGGGTGATTGTAATTAAGTCTCCAGTGAGAACTAGGGTGAGGATGTGAGGTGCTGTGAGAATTCAAAATAGAGATAACTGTGGGTTTGAGTGGTCAGACAGCGTGTGTGTGTGTGTGTGTGTGTGTGTGTGTGTGTGTGTGTGTATGCATGCTTGTATGCGTGTTCCCATGAATTAAACCCAGGCTTTGCCTATTCGAGGCTTTACCCTGATCCACATCCACAGGCCCCACATAGCCTTCTTGACTACAGGATTACTCCACTGGGGTTTAGAGGATGGGATTATGAGTGGGAGTAGCCCGCTGCTGGAGGCAGAGACTCAGAATTGGGAACACTTATGGGGGACAGCGGTGACCAGTGTGAGTGAAGCAGAGGAGTCCTGCTGGACATACTGCATCACATATGAGGAAGGTAGGATGAGGACAGAGCGGGAAGGGACTAATAGAGATGTTTGAAATTTAAACTTTTAGTAACGGGAAACCACCGAAGCCATTTAAACCAAGCCTCAGAGATGAAAGGAAAACTCAAAGGAGCTGAAGCCAGCAGTGCCAGGCAAGACAGACCAGAGCGGGTGGTGCTAGTGGCAAGGAGACTCCGAAGCCATGTACAGCTGTGACCCCCATGGGTGAAATTACATGGGGGGAATGGATTTCAGGGTTTTGGGGCATTTGGGTGGGTGGGTAAGCTTGAGCTAAAGGTATCATTGGTATGCAGAGTGTTCTCTCCACGTGAGGATTAAAAACGCCATAGCTACACAGTTTACTGAGCGTTTACTAAATGCTAGCACTGTCCAAGCATTTAAACACAGCTCATCCACGCATTCTTTTGAAGTAGTACTACTATTAGTTCCATTTAGCAGATAAATCAGCCAAGGCACGGAGAGATTAAGTAATTTGCTCACACTCAGGCAGTTAATAAAATGCAGAGTCAGGATCCAAAGAGGAGGAAGGCTACACAGGTCTGAGGCGTAGCCCCAAGTACCCACCAGCAGGGTTGTGGGAAGTTTGTGGTGTGATGGAAGAGATTCTGAAAAGCTGTGTGTGCAATCACCATTCGGAAAGGCAGTCAGAGAGCCCTTTCCTGTACTGGTTTAAGGAGATCAGTACACAGTATGATAAAATAATATGCTTTTCCTGTGATGTCTTAAACATTAATTTTTTTCATTTGAAAAGGAAGAATAGTCACTGTAAGAATTCAAATCTTAGCCGGGTGTGGTGGCTCACACTTGTAATCCCAGCACTCAGGAGGCTGAGGCAGGAGGATCGTTGTGAGTTTGAGGCCAGCCTGGGCTACAAAGTGAGCTCAAGGCCAGCCTGAACTGCAGAGCGAGACCCTGTCTCAAAAAAAAAAAAGAAAAAAATAGTGAATGTCACATATAATCATAGTGGGCTCCAAAATCATTGTCCTTCACCAAATGTAAATTCTTTCAGCTCTTTTTTTTTTTTTTTACATAGGCTGATGTATTATTATGTTAATATTAATCTTTTTTCCCAAGGTTGATGATACTGTTTGTAACTGGCTTTTTCATTTCAGAAGTGAGACCTCGGCCATGTCCATACATACAGTTTTGTTCCCTTTAGGATTCACTTTCACTTTCAGCATTACCCAGTCTGGGTTCATGTTCTTTTCTGATCAGCAGAGCAGCAACAGATGTGACCTAGATTCTTACCGCAAGGCCACTTTTGTTCCTTTTGTGCCTTAGACAGGACTCAAGGCAAAGCAAGCTCAAATGGGACACAGTTTTGTCTTTCTGTGAAAATAACAGATGCTAACATTTATTCAGTTGGTGCTTACTATGAGCCAGCAACTACTCCTGGCCCTATTTTACTGATGAGAAAACTGAGGCCCAGGCTGGTTAAGTAACTTACTTGCGCATATACTAAGAAAGTATGAACCTGAACCCTTGCTCTGTGTCTCCAAACCCTGTATATTTAGCAGCACGTGGTCTGTGTATCACTTTTGCAAGTCTTTTATGTGAGCTGATTAAAATGCAGGGGTTTCCATAGCAACACTGGAGGTCAATGGTAGAGCAAAAGTTGGTCAATAAAGCTGAGCTCTACTACTTCTCTAGCAACTGAAAGGGGCGTTGTGTGAAGGAGCCCTTCCTCTCTGCCATTCTGTCCTGTGATCTCTGCACTGCAGCTACAAGTGGGCTGGATTTTCACTCACTGCCCCTCGGTGTCCACAGGGGAGGCCTCTGTACTTGACCCTCATTCAGTGTCTTTACTGCTGTAGGCGCCATGGATGGAGAGTTGCCCAAGGTTCTCGGGTGGGTGAGCCACAGAAAGGCTGTGTCTGTCCACCCCGCAAAATCCACACAGACTTCCAAAAGCCTCCTCAAATCGATGTGTAGATAAGTAATCCCAGTGGAGCAGGCTTAAAAGGACCTTGGTTTTTTTGTTACTGTTTTCTGTTTTGTTTTTCATCAGAA